TGCCTCAAGTCCGATCTCCGATGATAGATAATCGCTGAATTCGGACGCGAACTTGATTGCGTCTTCGGGACGACCTGCGTTCCAACCTGGGTAGAACCAAGTCTGGCCGCCAGTGTATCTCGGGAGGTTACTGAGGGAGGCGACATCCTGGTATTGCGACGAGAAGAGAAACATATCGATAGAGACCTGGTTCTTGGAACACTCCACGGCAAAGCTCTTGTAAAAGCTGTTCGAAGTCTGTAACAAACTGCTTTCCTTGCTCGTACCGAGCAGCTTCTTGTCCTCGCGCATGTCCAGCTTGCCAACGCCCACATTGGGCAGCGACGCGCTAAGCACCACAATTTTGCCTCCAAGGGCCGAAATGAGTTTGTGGCCGGCTCTCAAGGCCGATCCCATTGCGGAACCGTTATTCTGATTGCTCTGGAACATCTCGGGTAACTTGGTGAGGAAGCTCTCGATGCTCTGACGGCTTTCAGTTAAGGGAACGAGCAGATCTTGAGGCACGGGAAGGAAAGGCTCGTCCAAGTCGCTGATGACCAGCATGCTGGTCTCGGCATTCTCTTCGCCGTCCTTTGGGACCGAGAAGTAATGCAGGCTAGAATCGACGGCAATGAATCCCAGACGGGTACGGCGATCAGCATTCGGTATCCGGTCGAGGCTGTCAAGAATCGTTCGGGCACTAGTCGCAAGGAGGCCAGTCGAAACGGCGGCGTAGCTCACATCGAAGAGGAACAGGTAGACGAGAGGCTGCGGGGGGCGGACCATATACTCCTGAGGAGCGACAAACTCGACGACCGAGTAGTTCAGCTCGTACCGGCCCCATCGGTCAGTGCTCCTTTGGGATGCAGCATCCCAGTCGAAGGCTTGGGGTACATCGTTGGTCAGGTTGCACATGTTGCAGCGCCACCTGTGACCGTGATCCAAGAAGGTGACGAAAGGATTGATGTATGTCCTGCAACGACGGCAGCGGGCGATGACCTGATCCTGCACAATCGGGACCGGATCCTCGTTGTCATGAAGCGCACCGTAAGGTTGAATGACAAGCGCAAACGGCAACCGTGACTTTTTGAGCAGAGAATGTGTGGTCGGGACAGCGTTGAGCGTGGAGCGCACGTATTTAGGAGAGCAGTTCGCATCGGGGGAAGGAGTTACGCTGGTCTGCAAATAAAGGTTAGCATGAAGCCTCCACGGGAGAAGGAAGCGGTGACATACATTGGGAGGCAGGATGATAGGAGGTGGAGGCAAGTCCAGTTCCGAGACATTGAAGGGCTGGGCCATCAAGTCAGTGGGATAGAGCTGGTTCAAGGTCACTGGGCGAGCAGCTTGTCCAGGAGCTTGCTGCTGCGGCTGACCGCCGAGATTCATGCCGGCCATCTGCTGGTTCAAACCAGCAACTCCGCCGGGGGGAGGAGCACCACCTTGGCCAGGGTAGCCGGCATCGGGAGCCTGATAACCGCCGTAGCCTCCGGCCGGAGCGGCAGCAGGCTGGGGCACGCCGTATTGCTGGGTTTGGGGAGAGCCATATCCTGCCGCAGCAGGCTGACCGTCTTGCTGAGGATACCCTCCGTACGCCGGTGCCTGCGGCTGCGGCATGCCGTAGGCCTGCGCGGGTGCGCCAGCGGTGTTGGAGTTGGCGCCAGCTCCGAACTCATAGGCCTGTGTCGCATAGCCTCTCTTCTTCTTCTTCCCATGGTCGGCAGCGGCAGGTTGAGGAGCTTGGGCAGTCTGAGGGTCGTAGCCATCTTGCGGCTGGTCGGCGTACGGCTGTTGCTGCGGGGGATACTGGCCGTAGCCGTCGTTCGGCGCCGACATAGTGAGCGGAGGCAAATATCAAAGAATCCTGCGTTGGGGGGCGTTGTGTCTCCCCTTAATTCTAGGTGGAGCAAGTTTTGGATGGATGGGAAAACAGGTATTCTTGTGCAGAAGAATGCGATGTGCTGCGCGGGCGGTGGGTGATTTTGGAGAGTAATGCAGCAGGCGGCGTGGCGTAGCGAGGGGCTCGAAGAGGACAGCAGACAGCCGGGTCAAGGCAAATATGTGTCCACAGCACCGGCGCCCAAACGTCGCGTTTGTTGGGGTCGATTGCGATCGAGCTGGATGCGCTGGCCTGAAGTTGCAAAAACCAGGCAGGGCGAGGAGGGAGAGACGGAGGGAGGTAGGCGACGATGTTGTGGCAATCAACCTTGAGGACAGTTGAACACTGTGAATGGACAGGTGGTTCAACCCACTGATTCGAGCTCCTTGTTAGAAAGGTGTCGACCTGTCGTGTCCATAACCTTAGCCAAGTAAGGTGCCCAGGACTCAACTGGCTGCGGTGCTGGGTCTTGGCCAATGGCAATGCGGGGCACTGCCGCACACGCCATGTGAGGCTGGTGAACCTGACCTAAGCCGCCAGGAAAGAGGCGGAATATTGTTAGACCGCCGTCCGCTCAGCGTGGAAGGTAGGTGGGTCCCCGTGTGAGGTAAGGGTCAAGCTCTGTTCCGACAAAGGTGCGCCGTCTGGTCGGGACTTCTGGACTTGGCTCCGATGCCCATAGCTCCCAATGCCAATGGCAGTCGCCCTACCTGACACTGAGTACCTAGCAGTTGTACACATTGGCAGCCAGGAAGGAAGAACCTTAGTTCAAAACCAAGCCTATGCTGATTTCCCCGCCAAAGAAGACCTTGGCTCATGGACACAACAAATAGCAAAGTCAATGAGGGCGATCTCAAAACGTATTCTACGAGGCAAGGCCGTTCCATGTTGAGCACGCATAGATGCCTTGTGACAAGTACCTACCCAATAGCCAAGACATGTGGGGACGACGCCGAGCAGCATACGGCACAGGCGAACCGTCAGGCGTCTTAGCAATTGCCCAAACTGCTGAATCCCAAGCCAGAACATGTCAGTCTGGCTCTTGTTGAAGCAGTGCAAAACTATTGCATGGAGGTTTCTATGGACTGCGCAGCAAGCAGAATATATGTGTACTTCGTCCTGGAAGCGTGTCCCTCGGCCTCCGGCAAAGTGGCTGAGTGCCTTGGGTTCTTTTGTGGTTTCCGATTCCTTCCTAACTACTCTATATCAATATTCCATTCGTATATAGTGTATATATATACCTCTATATTAGAATAAGCTCTAGAGAGGCGTAAAGTCTATCTATAAATACCTTAAGGATAATAGCTTTAATACTATAAAGTTAAACTTTCTCTTCTTAGGTTTAATAATTTTAAAAATTGCTTGAAAAATATGAACTAAAAAGAAATATTTATAGTTTAGTTTAGATCTATTATCTCTTAACTTAATAGTTATTACTATAAAACTATTACTTATTAAAATAAATATATTAAAATAAAATATTATAGATATTATTAATATAGTATAAGTTTTCTCTTTTAATCTAAAAATAATTATACAGATTTAGCTAATATAGTGGATTTTATATTTATAAAATAATTAATACTTTAACTAATTTATAAATATACTAATAATAATAATAAAACTTTTATATAAAAAATAAGTATAGATCTTTATTTTTAGCTTTAATACTCTTTTTATAATTAGTTTACTAGAAAATATTATAATAAATATTAAAACTAATATTTTTAATATAATTAACTAAATTAAAATAGATATAGAATACAATATTTAGCTTTTTTATTAATTTGATATCTTAGAATTATAGTAGTAGAAGTAATTATTATTAAGCGAAGTTTAATAGTACTAGTCATTTATAGAGATTAAGTAGGTGTAGTTAGAATAGATCTTTATATAGATAGGTAATAAACTTGATAAAACTATATTACTCTGTCCCCCTACTGCGAGTGCCTTGGGTTCATTTCTAGGTATCCGTACGCTCGCTGAAGGGGGTATGGGTGCGGCAGAACGAACGCATCCCGCTGCCCGTCATTTGAGAGACATGTTCAGTCCCTCATCCCAGCACCCGGCGGGGCCGTACAGATAGTTGCTTGGTATCCCTTTCAGGACGAACCGAAAGGGGCACTTGCGTGCACTAGAACAGAGGTTGGTGGCCCCTCCCGCATCCCACGAGCCTCTGCCAGCCTACGATGTACCTGCCCTCTCTACCTACTGCGTACACCTGGCCCCACCATCCAATGGTCCCTGGCACCCACTTCTATCTCTATCCCCTGTGCCTACCTAGCACCGGGCTGTCTCGTTGATTGCGTGTCGCCATCCGCCGCTACTCAGCTCGTGAGTTTTCTGGTTTTTTTTCCCCCCTCTCTTAATGGAAGCTTGTGATGGAAGCAGCCACAGCAGGTGTAAGTATTTTTCTAAGGAGTCGAAACTATTACGGAATTGTGGGAGGGCGGCTTGGTTTTGTGATACATGCTTCCCGGCCAGGTATCGTACCGAGTTACATCCCACAAGAGGCAACCCGGGACACTACTAGACTTGTCTTCATCCACCTACCTGCCTGCCAATCTGCCAACCTGCCACCTACCTACCCAAGCTTAGGTCCGAGGTCTTGCATATTCGGTAGTAGGGCTGCCTCTGCTCCTGTCTCTATTGTAAGTCTCTACGTGAGGTAGCCTTGGTCAGAGAGGGTCAGAAGCGTCGCCTCGTCTCGTCCCGTCTCGACTTGGTGCTTCCGTTACTTTAGCTTCCCAACAAGAAGCCCAGCTTCCCTTTTCCTTCCCAAACTCCTGCTCGACCAACTTCTCTTTTCCAACTCTTTCTCTTTCTCACACCGAACCGAATTGCAGCACATCCACCGCGTGCCATTCCTCGCTCGCCTCTAATCGACCGGCTCCATCCTTCTACATCTTCCTTCTCTTCACCGGCGTAACTCTCGCCGACCCCTTTCCTTAGTGCCTGTCCAGTTTTTCGACTTTCGATCTAAATCAGGTCCTGCTATCTCTCTTCTTTATTCCATTTCTGAGAACGACTGTCAACCGAGGCCTGGCAACGAGTTTGCGTGCAAAATCCTCGGATCGTTCGCATCGACAGCGTCAACGTCAACGTCTACCACTGCAGTAACCGAGTCGCAGCTACAGCCGCAATCATGGCGTGGGGCAAGAAAGTGCAGCCCCAGCCCTCGACGATTAGGTGAGTGAAACCAATAAAGACGACAAAGGGCGCACGGGGAGAACGAGGGCAGGCGCAACGCGCTTACGCACGACTTCCGTGTCGCATTGCCATTCCCGACCTGGCGCACTCTGCGCAAATTGAAATCTCACGGGGCGCGACTGTTGAAAAGGCTCAACGTGCTGACACAAACCTTGCGCTCGCGCACCTACAGTCAAATCCTACCACTCATCATCACCTTCGCCTTTATTGGTGGTGTGGCTTGGGTGCTCTGGCAAGTTTACATTTCTGTGGGCAAGATCCAGGAATCAGCCTCGGAGAAGATGGGCAAGAAGAACGTCGTCTTCACTAAGGACGGTGTTCGCGTCGGCGTCAAGCACACTTCCAACGAGCGATACGTCGACCAGACCCAAAATTGGGTCGTCAAAGCCTGGAATCTCAGCGGCAATACTGTCGGGCAGATAAAGAAGACCAAGTAACCAGTGTGTGTGCCCTCCTGTGTTGTCGGCGATACCTCCGTTGGTAGTCCAGCCGGAAGTCCAGCCGGATCAACACGTCTTGGCCGCCCGGCATGCTGGAAGAATGCGACAGAGCAGACAGCAGCAAGTCGAGACGGAGATGAGAATGTCAAGAACGAACATGTCAGCAGCATTTCTTGGCAGCGAAGGGGTGTCTGGTGGCGGATCTGTCGTCAGGTGTGGCGACGTCGAAAAGATTCCCAGCAGGATGCGATCGTCGAGATACCATTAGGACATACAATGGTCCAGTAGGGATGCCTACCAACGTAGAGTCTTCTCTGGGGGGAGGCAGCGTCGAAAGCCCAACGGCAATCGCTTGAGCACCGAACGGCCGTCGCCGAAGTCGTGGGTTAGGACGGACGGAAGCGGGGTCGTCTTCCATGCAGAAAGTCTGTCTTGGCAGTACCGCCGGGTTCTGCTGGTGCTTACGCACTGATACTGTGCCAGCGTTTGCGTTTTCTACGACGTACATACTAGCAGAGGGCCAGCAATGCAATTGGTGTCACAACGATAATGCAGCCAACGAATTTTGAGAAAACGTTGCGTTGATAGGGCATTCATTCATTCATTCTCTACCAGGAGTGCGCCATACCGTGAAAACTGACTTTGCAGTAAGGATTGGATTGTTTGGTCAATGATATCACCTCCAAAGCCAACATAGCCAACATGGTAAACAATCATAACGCCGTGGTATCAAATCCCCTCGAAACCTGCGCTGCTCAGACCCTCGCGGGCTGGCAGATGCCTCTCCCAACTTTTGCTCATATCGTCAACAAATCATTGCTCTAATTCCAGGTGATTGTTGGAAAGTCTCGTTTTAGAAAGGACGACAAGTGGGAATGCATGACCAAGATAGGAGACGACGACGAAGACGACGTGTGAGCCAGCTCGCAAAATTTCCAAAGGCCCGCCTCCGCAGAGTGTCCTTGTTCTGGGTTGGTAAATCATTGCGGTCCGGACCGCACCGTCAACCAGTTCTGCGCCACCCACTGTCCTGCCTGGCCTGCGGTTCCAGTGGCTTTTGCAAGTAGCTCTGCCTTGTGCTTTTCTACAAACTCCTTCTGCATAGCCTCACGTTGCTGAAGCGGATTCATGGAGTAGCCCGCGGTTGGAGGAGCATATCTCGCTGAAAGGAGCTTCTCAAAGTTGTGAGCTTGTGGGTAGGGCTGCGCCATCAACCCGTCTCTTCTGATGAGCATTGACGGGATACGAACTTGCAACTACAGAAGGCTGTTAGTCCAACTCGGCGACCAGTTTGTAAATGTACGAATGAACTTGCCTGTGATAGAATATGAGCGTACTTGACACCCAGCTCGTCGCCGATGAACTTTAGGCGACCAACCACCCAAGCTCTTTGGGCGTCCGTCGTGTAGTCTTGGCCGTGTAGACATGCCAGCGGCCACGTGAGGAAGTAACCGGGAAGACCTTTTTGGGATTCTTCCAAGCCACAAGCGAAGCCGGAGATGTTTGCTCGCTCTAGAAGCTCGGGACGCTTCAAGTGCCAGCCGAGGTGGTATGGTACCGAGGCGATAATGTCGCTGATGGTGTCGACACATGTGCGTGCCGCCGTCGCGTATTCCGGGGTTGTGCGATAGTCGACGGGCGAGCAGACCCACGCGGCGCAACGGACGATGACCGACGCAAGAATCAGGCGGGATACTCGTGCCATGTTCCAAACACTGGCAATCCAGAAATCTTGGTACACATCTACCCTGCCCGGGAACACCTCGGCCTTGGTATAGTCCCCATTGGGAACGTTGTCTTCCCACGCCACGGTTGTGTACTGAAAGTAGTCTGGCGTGTTTCTCATCCAATTCACAAACTCTTGATCAACTGTCTGCGCCCGCCGAATCATGTCAAGCATGATGTCAATATTTTCGGGGCTTCTGGCCACAGTCGACATCAGACGGGTGACCTCGGCACGCAATTCGGCAGTTTTGATATTTAACCGCTGGCACTGTGCGGCTGACTCGTCCTTGACCGCATCGCTGAGCCACCACTCTACGCCCATGATGGGTGCCGTGCCCGTACTCAGGGTGTGTATGATCATTTGGGTTCGTACCGCGATGAAGAGAAGTAGACCAGTCTTGGTTCGTAGTTGTTTGCGGCCGCGAGCTTTGACCAGTTGAATTGCTCCTTCAATGTGCGAGCCCCAAGCAAACATACCCATTTGACGGGCTGTCATATTCTCGAAGAGGCCAAGCATGAGAACGGAGGCCAACGTGGCGTCCGACTTGGACTGGTCGGGGTCCTGGAGGGCTATATGTGTCGCTGCGAGTGCCTTCGTGTAGTGGCCCAGGGCCTTGTCGCTGAGCCCAGTCCCGGCAGCGTTCGGCCGATTGCCTAGCGAGGCAAGAGCACACGCGTTGAAAGCATGCTGTAGATGGTGATTGCCCTGATCATGCTTGAGTAGAGGCAGCAGATATTCCATGAAGCCACGAGTGCTGCCCTGCCGGGGCAAAAGGACGTAGTTGGCGACGAAGTGACATGATGCCATTTGCTCCACGGGCACATTCAGGCCGGGGCTCACGGCGGCTGGGGAGTCGGCTTCCTTCTTGAATGTGGGAGAGATGACCTTCTCGGACCCTGACAATGGCGAGTCGACATCCTTTCCCTTCTGTGCCAGCGCCTTGCGGTTTGCCTTCTGGGCCCTCCTCTCTGTCGCCTTGGTCTCGTTACGAAAGACCAGATCGAATTCGTCTTTGTATCCAGGACATTGTCGGCGAGACTTGGCACATTGGTTGCACGTAGGCTTCGTCTCGTCACACTTTGCGGCAGACACAGCTTAGTTAGTATAAACGACACCACGGCGGCTCACTTTCATATGTTGCAATAACTCACCTTTATCCTTCGGGTTCTACACATCTGGCAGCCCCTCGAGGGCTTTCCGCAATAAACCATGGCGTTGAATATCAGAGTCGGTTTGTTCCGGCGTCGAAAAGAAGTCGAAGTCAAGGCACGGGTCGTGTGTCTTCAAAGTGACAGCAATGAAGTAAACGTACTCGGTTCGGACGCCTAGTAGAGTTCGTCAGGTTGGTAGAGCGGCGAGGTTGTTGAAGTGTGAACAAGCGTGCAAATCACGGTGACGGTAGATCAGGGTGAAGATGGAAGATCGACAGGTAACTTCTAGACCGCGAGGGCGGCAACATGAAACTCGAGAGGTGGGCGACCTATTTCGGAACGTGGACAAAGTGAACGTCAATCTGAAAGAATAAGAAAGCCGGCAACCATGCGAATGTTTGGGAGCAAGACTCGGGAACAGGTCGGGCCCGGGAGCGCGTGTTCGTGTTGAGATGATGGGGTGGTTAGCAGGTGGCGAGGAAGGCGGCGACGTATGTGTATCCACGGCAAATCGAAACCACAATGTCGGGCAGTGGACAAGACGAGTTGATGTTTGCCTGGTCGTTTTCAAGAACCAATGGGAGGTGAGAGGAACAGACGTTTTCTATGCGATGTTCCTGACGTGGATGAGGGAAGATTGGGCGGAGGATGGCAGGTGTGGACGAGATACAAGAATGCCAGAGAGGCGCATAGATGAGAGTCTTCCAAGCCACTCCGGTGGTGTTTGAGAACCGGCGGTGTTGCGAGTCTCACTGGGCCTGTTTCCCTGCTGGGTCTGGGGGTGACCGTGGTTTATAGGATCCGGGGTGGTCCTGGTCCGGCCACAGCCCACGATGGGATTGAGGTTGCAGGGTGTGCGTCGTCGAGTAGCGTTCGGTTAGAAAGAATGAACCAAACGAGGTCCTGGAGAACTGATTGATGCAGCAGAAACCCGCCTTGAGGGTGAGCAGGATGTGGTTATGGTAAGCAAAGGCAGCGTACGAAGATCGTGGGTAGTGATTGAGTGGCACAGGCTGTGTACGTAGGCAAGCTGATGAAGGTCGGCAGGAAAAGACAAATCGGCGAACCGCTCTGGGGCGGCCTGGAGAAGCGCAGCGTTGATTGGGTTCTATGTGTCGTTCGTGCGTTGTTGTTTCGGAAGGGGCGTTTTCTTCTTTTCTTTTTCGGCACCGAATTTTGCAGGGCCGTATTGGAAGACGAGAAAGTAGCAATTCCCCCCTGGAAGAAAAACATTAATACAGCCTTTCCTATCAGACGCAGCGCAGGGCCAGGCGGCACATACAAGTACTTGTAGGGCGTCCCGATCCAACGTCTCTTCAAACACTCAAGTACAGTGGAGACGGAACTTTGGAGGGGGGCTTCAGCCCCTCTTCGCCCGTCGGATTAGACTTGCCCTGGCTAGTGCTAGTGCATGTGGCTAGCCTGTAGCAGGCGATGCGTTGCATTGGGAGGGGTAGAGGGAAATGATTGTGAATTGTGGTGGGGACTCGGGGAGGTGGGAAGAGACGTGGAAGCACAGCACAGCACATTATCAGCACATTACAATTTACCACCACCAGACCAGCGATCACGAGAAGGGGGGAGCAGACAGGGGATAGTGATGCGCAAGGGGGAGGGAAGACTCGGTACTTGCAAACTAAGAGTAACGTGCCTCCCTAGACACCTTACATGAGGTACCTAAGGTACCTTTCCTCCTGCGTAGGTAGGTAAGGTACCAAAGCTACCGTACTAAGCAGTAGAACAGGGTAGGTGCCTTAGGTTCCTGAGGGAGGTGGGCACTGTGCTACTGCGTAGGTAGGTAGCATATTGGGGACGTGACAGGGGAGCCGCTTTGACAATGGGCTGCAGATCCGACACTCGTTGGTTGACAACAAAGGACAACGGGAGAGAGAAGACGAGTGCGAGTGCAACTCGCTGAAGGGGGGGAGAGGGACGAGTGGATGGGAGGAAGACCAGTAGTCGTCGCAGAAAGCGCGACAGCGAGGGGGAGCAGAACCTGGTTCACAAAGCTTGCGGCCAGGATATGCCCAGCACGACGAAGCACCAAGACGTCGGGGACTCGGGGAAGGGCCGCCTTGTGGTGAGGTCAGCTAAGTTTGGTTTGCTTTTCAACGCTTTGCTCCGAACGGCCCAACCTGAGTGCATCTAATCTACGTGTCTAAATACCTAGGTAGGCCCTCAGCTGGGCTTGAGTCTTGACAGCTCACGTCCGGTCCTGACCAGGGCTGATGGCGGCTGACGGGCGTTGTCTTCCCCAGCAGCCTGGCAAACAGCTTTGAACCAAGTCATGAACTCAAGCGCCGGAGAAAACCACAGTGGCCGTTTGCGTCGGGCTCGTTTTCTGTCAGTCTCCAGTGCTCTGGTTGGTGGCGCAGACACTTCTCGGCAGGCTACCCCGACGGCGCTGACTAGCGCGCCGAGGTCTCTGGACGGTTTCACCTGGGCTTGTTCTTCCTGTTCTGCATACCTAAGGTAGTTCGTATGTGCGTACTTATAGTAGGTAAGTACACTACAGGCGACAGCTTCTCCCTCATCACTGAGGCCCCTGGGCGGTTTATTAGACGCATGCTACTGCCGATATCAACGACGGGTACTTCCGCGTCTCAAAGCGCGTGGCGTTATCTAAATACACAACGGGTATCCGCACTTGGTCGCACCGGCAGGGGCGGCCTCTGCCTCTGGCCTAATGGCAAAGAATACCGCCGCACACACTGTATCCGTACTAAAGACTACAACCGGAGTGAGGCCCAGAGATTTTGTGGGGGCGCTTGACCTGCGATGCTGTGCTGCTCCAAGAGGCGTATGGCCGAGACAAGTGGACTGAGACATGCGTGCCTCTCCATTCATGCGGATATCGTAGATAGCACGCTTTTCTGTTCATCTTTGATGGACATGCAGGAAACAGGCAAGGCAAGGCAAGACAAGGCAGGTAAGATAAGCCAAAACGAGATATGGCAAATCCCGAAGGTACCTATCTGAGTACTCGACTAGATCCCACATTGTCACTTTGTCGAGGGCCAGAGACAAAGGCAATTGTGATTGACCATCGGCCAGCAGATGACGACGAGTCGGCCCTCCTTGGGTTCGAGAACAGATGAAAGGCATGTTTCGCTGCGTATAGATGACGGTTGGGATTTTACAGTTCAAGGAAGCTCGTTGTCTTGATAGACGTCCAAGTTTAAGCTCAGGCGACACGACTCAAGAGATTCGAATACCTGACATGTCACTAGTAATTACTGCGCAGTATCCGTACGGATAATCGACCAACCCACGGACCTGCCCCGCCTCTCCAAAGGCACCTCAGCAGATGCGCTCTCTTGGTGCGACGATGGTGGTGACTTCTGACGGCAAATTCCTTGATCGTCCCATCACAGTTCATACTTCTCGGAGGTGGACGCCCGAAGCATTGTAGTATCCCAGCCCCTGGTTTTGAACAGTACGCAGTATTGTGCTTGCTGTCTTGCATAGCCCGCAACGGGTGTGCAAAGTTCAGTTCAGACGCCCAGTCGAACGACAATTGGGTTGGCACCGGGTCGGGATGAAGGCTACTCGCCGCATGACCGCAGGCTCTCCAGAAGCTCAAGTAAAACCGTGCGAGGTCTCATTGTGCCTACCGTCTCCAGCTGCCTCTGCAGCTACGGAAACCTATGTCAATACTTTGGTCTCCTAAGTCCAGGTCATCGGGGTTTATAACTTCGCCGTTGCCGTTGTCGAGGTTGTTGGTAGGCCAGACACACGACACCGCCGTACCTGACAGAGAACGGAGGATTATCCTTTATCGTGACCCAGACCCGAGAAACGCTACTCGCCGGGCATTTCTTCCGAAACGCCAAACACCAGACGTCGAGATCCCTGTCCGTCCCTGCCTGGCTATCTTACCAAGCTGTGCAAGCATACGCTCTAGTTCTAGATCGCCCAATATCCGGTCTCCGGGGGAAGCGGTCCTAGTTGGACTGGTCGATCACGGTGACCCGTGCCGGGGTTCCTAGATCTTAAGATAACGCACAGGAACACTGTGATTTAATTCGGTACTGCTCGTGTACGCAGCACTTTGTATCCTGCAGAGACAATAACGCGGGCAGTCGGTCGCAAGGATCAGCAGGGACAGCGGACTGTAGTACTTTATCCGTCACAAGCCGACCCGACTTAAGAAAGAATGCACCTACGAATACCGACCCTCATCCGTAGAACGCAGTGTCGTGAAGCCGAAGCCTCAATGAAAACCATCCCATCCCGCTACACCCCAGCGTATACCTCCGTATGCTTTTGCTGACTGCTTCTTTTTGTGCTCCATTACCTATAAGCGAAATCATGACTGTTGCGAAGGCACGTGGTCGGCCAGCCTCGCGTTAGGTACTTCAGAGACAGCACATTAATGCTCCTCAAAACCCCGCTCGGTACTGTGTATGTTTCCATCTTCACATAAATAATCACGTCCAGCCTAGTGATCAACCACCGGCATCGAATGCCCTCTTGATGCCCTCTTCGCTGTGCAGGAATGCCGACACAAGAATTCTACACGTAAACATCCTAACCTTCAAACTTTTGCAACTCAGGGCAACGCGGGCACCCCTTCTCGAGTCGACCCAAACCTGTGGAACAACCATTACCCCACCGTCCTGCGAAAGATTCAAGAAGAACCTGGCCGAGGCACAAAATGGAAAGGAAGAAAAAACTAGCGTACTAGACGTCGGCTATGTAGTTAGCGGAGCAACGCAAACCAATGAATGGCTCCCGGTCTCAGATGCCCATCTCTTCAATGCCTCGGCCGAAGAAGAAGAAGCAGCATCAAGTAATTGCCCCCTCCCCCTCCACACTCCTCGAATAATGCGTTGCGAGTGGCCATGTGGTTTTCCATGGGCAGTGCTCCATTTGCCTACATTGGGAAGACTTGGGTCTACGCTGTACGCTGCTTGGTTTGGCCGAATGCGAATCAGAGGGCCCAATCGAGGTAGAGGAGAGGCTTGCAAATTGCGCTCGATACTCGATGCCGATCCCATGTCGCCAGGAACAAGTCCCGACATACGTCCGCGCAATACGACGATGAACAGCTTGAGCTACGTGTCAATTACCGAGGTCGAGACTTGTCACCTATTTATATCATTTGCTCCTCCCTCTTCGCGTCAGTTTACATTCTACCCGTAAATTCAACCAAACAACCATTCGCAAAGAAGTTGCTGCTGTCCCCGACGGCCTTCATGAAGTACATAAATGTCTCTCCTGCCGGGTACGGATGATCCATCGGCCGAAGCTGCGGATCGATCCCCCGTTACTTTCCGGCTGACCAGTCAGAGTCGCTCCAGCTTTGCCGGCCAATGTGACGGGACCCCGGATGAAGCCATCTCAGTCCGGCAATGCTTGCGGCCCTGCACCTGCATGTCGCTCTCCACATATCGGCTTTGCCCCTAGCGAGTCCAATCGCTTGTCGCTTACGTTCAGGTATTCTGTATGAACTATTCTGAATACTCACGTTGTCACAACCAGGTTCCTACTGGCACAGTGCCACTGTTGCTTGCACCTGTCCCTGACAACAAGGAGCATATCGCGCGAGCGGGCGACTTACAATATCCAACGTTAGAGACATCAGCCGGTGGCTCAGCTTCTGTACGGCTCATGTACAACAATTTAGGCAGCGAAACTAGCAATGTTGATGTATCCGTATGCTGCTCTGGAGATATGACTGAGGGTAGAGCCTGTGGTCGGAACGGTATAACATCAGTCAGTGCGCCTCGAAAAGCGTTGGTATCTTTATTTTCCTTCTTCCCTTTTAACCTTCCTCATCCAGTGCCGAGGCACCTATTCCCAGGCGTTACACCTCGACCATGTCTATACAACGTTGACCCAAACTGTGTATGCAGGCTTTCTCGGTAAGCGGCTCTGTAGATGCACAGCCAGTCGGCAAACGCAGGGGGGGCCAACAAAATTTCCATAATGAGCACATGCGTGTCTTTCGCGCTTGTCCCTCCTCCCCCTGTCCTCCTCCCCGGCAGACAGCGCAAATTAACAGGAACCGATCATCACAGGATTCACTAGCCCTCGAATAAGTTGGCCACGCCCTCAAGGCCATCTGGCGTGCCTTGCCTCGCCCCGGTGACCGCTCCGCTGCGTGTAGCCGACTCATTCGCGGGTGTCATGAATTCTTGCGCCATCTTACTGCGATTTGATCTCTTGACTCGCCCGAAACTGCTGGTCTTGGGCAATTTTCCCTGCTCTGCAATGCTTATTCCCTTGAGGTCTTTGAGAAGGTCAAGCACAAGTGCTCGTTGCTGGCGTGTGTGGGATGCTGGCTTCGACACAAAATCGTTCAGCTTTTCGAGATCAGCTATTTTAATGTTGGGTAGCGAAAGGAGGACGTCTCTGGGCGTGCTAGTCGAGGGGCTGTAATAAACCACTATGGAGGCAATTAATGAGGCCAGGTCCTTCTGAAGGTCTACGAAGTAGGGCTCATGGAATGAGTTGATGCAAGCTTGGAGCACTTCCGATGAGATGTACTCCCTGATTGCGGAAGCTGCTTCGGAGGAAATTGGCGTCGGATCAAGAGAAGAATCCTTGCCGCTGGGGGTGGAGTTTTGGCCCTCGTGCGCAGGTACAGATTTTGGCGAGATCGGTTCCGACTGATGGAAGTCCGGAACAATAGATCGAAATACCCGCAAAATTATGCTACAGCATCGCGTGTCTCTCATCCGGATTGCGTGAGTGCAGAAGAGAAGGAGCGGCTCCACAATCGTAGACTGCATCAAGCAAAATTTCCTCAATGACGGATACCTGCGAGGTGGCTCGTTGCCATTTTGTGATCTTAGTAACGGAGGGTCTGCGTTCAATGTTAGTACTCCATACCGGGATAGCAATACAGAAAAACCGCCGGGAAGCCTTAGACTGCATCTCCAAGCCGAGGTTCGGAACGCGTGGGCAAATCTAAGCGGGGATGTGTCAAGCAAACTGAACCAAGTGGTTCAGAGGAGATTGCAGGAGACTGGAACACATGGCTGAATGAAGAAACGACAGACAGAGGCGAATCATGAGAGGTGGAAAGACACTACTTACTTCTCTTAGTGGGATCCAGGAAATCCGCCACCATGATCACGGCAGTGTAAGTGACCTGGCGCAAGATGCTTTCCGATTTCATCTCCTCGGTAAGCGCATCCCCAGCAGCGTCAATTGCTTGTTGGCGCTCCAGCTTCTCCCACTCCGAGTTGATCTTTGCATCCATCTGTTGGAAGCAAGCTGCAAGGAGTGGGGGAAGGAAGTGCTCACGTTGCTCTAGTGGACAATCGTCCACCAGATAACGCACGAGATTCAGCAAGTTGATCTGCTGATGTGCAGAGAGATAGAAAGAATTTTGGAAAAGCGCTTGTGCAAGGGGGTTCGGCAGTTCGCTGAAGCCATAGAACTGCATCTCCAAACGGCTCATGCAGTAGATAATGGCATAGCATGTTTCTCGTACGAACCTCACGCTTCCTCTTATCGTCGAAGCGAGCCCTTCGAGAGTGTGTTTCTTGTCCATGACGCGGGCATAGAATTCATCTTTGCTGCCCTCAGAAATTCCCGCCTGCCAAAAACGATCACTGAGAACGCCGCCAACAACGGACCGCATTTCAGGGGGCAGTTCTGTCCAATTATCTGGATTGTGCGAGGCGTGGGCATGACTGTAGGCTTGGTCAGTGGGCTGAGCTTGAGGGATGACTGGAAATCTCACCTGAGAAATTGCAGAAGGTCGGGTAAGATGATTGGAAAGCTATCATTCCACAAGCGATACGAGATTTGGAAGGGCGCTGAAGACTTCTCGAGCTTCTCTACGGAAAAAGAAAGAAATGATTTTGTCGGGCGAAGAGGCAACACCTGTTGTCAGGTCAGTCGATGATACCTCAAACAGGCAACTTTGTCTTTACCTTCTGTCTCTCCTCTAACTCACTCTGGAGAGCCAGACCATCTGCATCCAGCTCGCTAGAGCCCCAATCCTTGACTTCATGGACGCGATGGTTCATGAGGTATCGCTTAGCTTTGTCCAGGGCCATCAATTCGCAAAAGCCCGAGTACGATGACAGAGCACTTTTCAATTCGTGGTTTTGCCATAGGCTTGTGACTGGCTTGATGAATCCCTGCAAACGCTCAAACTGTGTGGAAGGGTCAATATTGGTGGCTCGGTGAATGATGATGAAGAGAAAGCTCTGGTAAGCAATTTGTCGTTTCTCGTCCAAGCTTCCCGAGGAAATCATGTCGTTAACCTTCGCCTCTATCTGATCATATACGCCTAGCAGGTGGTCAGGGACCTTTGAGGCTAGTCGCTGCAGCTCAACCATGCTTTCGGACTGGAAGTCCTTGATCGCCTCGTTAAAGGCTCGGTGCTCTGGGCGAGGAGCAGGCCATGTCATGAGAATGTGTTCGAGGACTTTGAGCATGAATCCTGGATTCCTGTCGAGAGCTGCAGTAGAGAAAGCAACCAGCAATTGTAGCACTCTCTTCCGAATCAGAGGGTCCTCAAAGTTCATTTCGAGGAGTTTGCTGCACCAGGACTCCAGATCTCTCTCTAGAGCAGCGCGCTGTTGTTCCTGTCATCTATTAGCTGAATGTTGTCTTTCCCATGGCTATTTACTCACGTAGTCTGGCATGCTCTGTTGAGTCGTGCTTGCTCTCCACTTCATGTAGCCTTTCAGCGCCGCCTCGATGACTGTGAATTGTGCGTCAACGCGCAGAACAGGCATTGAATGCTTGATGTACTTGGACACTACAAAAATTAGCCGTCCCATTTCCGTCAAAGTAATTCAGATACATATATTAACGTACCATCCATCGGTGGGTGACCGTCATATAGATGCTGCAAGACTTGCTCGGCTTGGCCAAGAATATGGTAAACCGCGTCGGAAAGCTTCAGTTGTACAATTGTTTCAATGACCTGTGTGCTGAACCTTCTGTAATTGCCGAGAAAAGCATGTCGTTCCGGGACGGTATCAGTATCTTCCATCAGGAAGCAGAAGGTTGGGTCCTGAGTGTCTTCTGGCAGGTTCTCAAAACGGATTAGGCGGGAACCACAGACCTCGAGCAGTGGCCCGACGAGATGAGTATTAGCTGGGCTCTGTCCGATGAGTCTGTTGTTGAGTAGCCGCGTCCACGTAGCTAATACGGGTATGGCGATGATCAGACTTGGGCTTTGCACCGTTAGAAGCAGCAAATTGAGAAATCCGTCTACGTCCGAAGTCGTCGGGATCGCCGAAAATCTTCGGTCGAGATAGTTGCCCAAGAGGGACAGCATCTACACCACATCAATAAATGTAATCTAATCATCTCAGACAACGACTTGCCTCGGAAAACTTTTTACCGAATTGGTATTTGTCCTCATCAATGTCGTCCACGTCAACAGCCGACCACTCGAAGAGCCTCTTCAAGAGATCTACTGAGCTGGCATCATACATGGGTGCAACGAGATCCTTAAACTCTTGTTCGGTGAAGTTTGACCGGGAGTAAAGTGCATGTAAGGCCTCCAGAGATGCCTATTGCTGGTTAGCTGTCCCATATTCTCTTCCTCTCGAGTGTGCGTAATCATGCAGCGTTCAAGTACCTTCTGAATAGACACTTCGGGTGTCGCAAGGGCTCTGCACATGACAGGCACGCAATTGGCCACGGCAACAGCCTTGGGTATGGCCCAGGGCATCAGAGAGTGGAAAACGGACAAGGATTTGACGGCACAAGACCGAACTTGGTCGTTGTTCTGAGCATCCCCTTGAAGGCACTGACTGAGAAATTCGGATACCCGGCTTAGCCAACCTTCTTCCCCATATCGCACCTCGGGGCCAGCAGTCCTGTTCGGGAAAGCCTCTCTAAGGACTGTGGCCGGAGTAAAAATCTCGACACAGCTCCTGCTGAGCACTCCTTCGCGCATGGCGACCACGGCATCGTCGCCGTTGAAGACTTCGTCGGAGAGTGTCTCTAAGACGAACAGAACGAGCTCTTTGTGAACAGCAGAATCAGGAATTTGCCATAAGCGAAGCAAAAGCTCATCCATGTCCATCCACTCGGCGCCCCATGATCTTTTGCCAACTTCAACCCATAATTGAGCCGTCTTATTTCTGATGTATAAGGGATCGTCCTTCGAAAGGCTGCGGCAGAGCTCCAGCATCCAACCACGGAGAGTAGAGGACTGTTGCTCGCTATAGTCGGCCCATCTATGCTTGATCGCATGCTCAAGAAGGGAAAGGGCATAATGGCGCACAACGGGTGACTGGGACTTGTCGGAGGCAAGGGTAAAACCGTGGAATGGAGCTTCGTCTATGCCCTTGATGTTTTCGAGGAAGGCCTGCGCGTCTCGACGGGAGTCATTGGGCGAGTAAGGGTTGTGTATAGCCTCGAGGGCCTGGTGGATCTGTGATATTATGTCGGAATTCGCGCCGTTCACGGAGGTGATATTCTGACCCAAGCCGGCCGCGCCATTGGCGGCCTGTCCGTCCATGACAGCTGGAGTGGTCGAGAGTAGGGTAGGCAGACGCCTGCAGAAGCTGCTTCTTCAGCAGATGAATTGGTCTTGGTTCATACGGCGGATGTTGTACAGGCCAGACTCGGAAGGTGGAAGACGAGGAAGTGGTGGGAGAATGCGATATCGAGGGAATGCAGGTTTCGGTGAGAATGCTGCCCAAGACGCGAAATGCGGCAGTTAGCGAAGGTTGAGAGTGGTGTAAAGAGGGCCGGGCGGCGTGGACAAGGCGCGGACACAGAACCAAGGCATGAGCCTTGCAGCGCGAGTGAGTGTAACTTACCTTGGGCAGATAAGGGCGTCTTCAAAGGCACCCAGACAGACTAGTTTTGTTCTCCGCGTTCCTCAATACCAGCTTCGCCCGACTTTTGCTCACTGCCGTTGATAGGCGCTTGATGGGAGAGACAGGTTCGAGCGAATGTGACAGCAAACCAGGTTAGACGGAAAAGAGAGAAGCAGTATATACCTCTGCCAGTGGAAACAAGCGCGGACAATCGTACCGACTGGCGAGGCAGGAATACCGGAAGTTGCAAGAATATGGAGTAGATGCAGTAGCAATAGCGACAGCAGCGAACATGCTTTGCATCATCAAAAACCAAGCCAGGCCAACAGTGCAACGCAGAGCACCCTCAGGTAGGTACCTAGTGTACCTACCACCCGTAGCGGATGAGGATTGTTAGGTAGTGGAGTCGCGTTGGCGGGCCGGGGCACCAGTGCGAACGGTGTGCACTACGTGGTGCCTAATTATCCGTAGGCACCTCAGGCGATATACTAGCTAGGTATGGTGGGTAGGTAGGCAGCTTGTATTGATTACGTAAGGTATCTAGGTAAGGCACCTAAGATATGCACACCGGCATTGCAGTGGAGACGTCTAGGTAGGTTCGGCCCAAAGCCTGGCCTCTGGGACCTGCATCGCGTTGACCCGTCGTGCTTCTCTCTTCAGGACTTCCTCTATTGAGCCCGCTTTGCCAGTCTAGGCATATCAAGGCAAGGCCGTCTCCCACAGGCACAACCTCTTATCGTAGAAGCTCGTCGACACACAAATCAAACGCCCGTCCTTAGAAACTGGAACGCAGTCACTGCCATAGTTCATGCTCTGGTGCTCATCAAATCTTGCAAGAACCCCAATCTCCCAGTCCCCGCCGTGCAGAGGCCCCTCGAGCTCTACAACCTTTGCACCGGCATGCATACAGGAGGCTAGGATCCTGGCGCGACAATGTCCAGCATCCTCTCGGATATCGATCAATTTCAGCCTCCAGACGCCACCTCCTAGGTTCTTCTCGCCCAGATGCTGAAACTTGCGAAGGCCATACGTCTCGTGTGGAGGTTGTATAGCAAGAATTCGCATCGAATCATCGTAGCTTCCCGTGACCACAATTCTCGCGCCGTCTGCTAAACGCACCGGAATTGGAAGGATGGCTGTCACCCCGGCGCCATGGCCGCTGATGTTAAGTGGAGGATATTGGAGGCTCACCGCCGCATCTGAGTCTTCACCCCCAGACTTCTTGTCCGCGCATGATGCACATCGCAAAGCAGAGTCATCCCCACCCGAGTACACGATGAATGAGTCGCTCTGGGCATCACCGCCTGCAACACCAAGCTGGCTTTCATTTGGCTCTGGCGGACAAAATGCCACCGTCCAGGCCTCCAAAGAGTGCGTCATGACAGTAGTGACATTTCCCTCGATGATTTGCCATGCATCGTCGAGACGTACGACTCGCACCTCACCTGCGGATGTTGTGAGAGCAACCAATAAAGGATCATGGGGACTCCATACACCCGAAAGGAAGAGAACTCCTTCAGGAGTGTTGGCGATCCTGCTTGTCGCCAAGTGCCTCAGCGGCTCAGATGCATCTATGCCTGGATCCAAACGAAAGATAGACAGCGTACCGGTGCTGGAGACGACAGCCAGGATATCCTGCGCACCAGACAGGGGGCAGAAGTGGAGGTCCAAGATTGCCGAAGGATGGGAGATAGTTTGGACGTGATGCCTAGGAGGGTCAGATAAGCGGCGTGGCTGCGTGTTTCTGAATGACTTACATGGCTCCGTTGTCAAGTCGAAAGATGATGAGACTGCCACTGCGATTTTGCAGTTTCTTTCCGGTCAAGGCCTCGTTGTCTTCCGACTCCGTATAGCCTGGCCCGTCCTTGATGAGGTTGTACGTGCCGACAACAAAGTATGTCGGGTGCGAGGGGCACCATTCTATGCAGCTTGGAGGGAGGTCCAAAGTGAGAGTTTGCGTTGACGCAACACTACTGTTGGGCTCGGCCATTTTCTTGTTCCTCTTTCTCACAATCTGTCAAGTATGGTTCCCTGAGTTTTTGTTATTATATCGAAGAAAAGCAAGGGAGGGAATGGGGACGAGGTTAGAAAAAAAAAGGAGAGGGGAAAAGAAAAAGAAAGGCAAGAGACCATCCGCTCGTGGTTCGCTTGCTCTGTAGCCAGGAGTAATTGGCAGGGCAGATTTGTGTGAAGATTCGCTGTGGTCAATAAGCACCTAGGAGGAAGGAGAGCCTAATCCTACCTAGGTAAGGTACCTAGGTACCCGACCCGCCTACCCATGGCCACTCCCGGCCGCCGGTCGTTGCGTTCCGGGAAACACGGAAGGATCCCGCTTCTCATCCACAGGTTGCGTGCCGGAATTGGCGCCGCGAAGTCGGATCGGCTCCTCCAACCCTCCCAGAAATGGTGGTATCAGACCAGCCTCCCTTCCTGGAGAACATTTCATAGTCTTATCCCACCTTCGTCGACCCCTTCCATTGCTTCCAGTTCTCCGCGACAGCGTTAGGGGAGAGCATTGGGTACCTTGAGGTACATGAATGGTCACCGCATTTGAGAAACTGTCGATTCGCCCGAAGGAGCACCTTTCTCCCTGGCCTCGCCTGAGTATTTGCCATAAAACGGCCACTGCCATACAACTCTATGCCCTTCAGACCCTTTGTCGAAATACTGCCGTTTCGCACTTTGCTTCGAAGCCCCCGCCTGCGAAGCACCGATGGACTCGGAGGAGTCGGACTTCTACGGTTCGTGCCGAGGCCCTGATAGTGCCTGGGACTGACTGTTTGCCAGGAGACGAGGATATTATTGAAGGGCTGGAGGCCCGCGTCAATTCTTTCAACGTCGCCCAATGGTGGGAGGAGACAAGGGCGGTCCAACTCAACCGGAAAGCCAAGGCGGAGCCGGCGGACAGCACCAAGCTACATAACCCATACGCAGGTGTGCCTTATGCGTGGCAACTAACCGAGACCCTCAGTGATTTCCTCAATCGCCTTCCTCCCGAGACAACTGAGGGCACTGCCGACGTTCCCTGGATTTTCATCTGTAACCCATTCATTCCTCGGAAGAGCAGGTTTCTCGCACAAAACCAGTTCAGCAGAGGCAATGAGGATGAAGCTCCAGAAGAGGATGGATCACAGCTCAACACCCTAGTTGAAGGAGGCACCGAGAGGTTGCGCATTCTGGGCAACTTTGTGGACGGCATCCACAGGACGAAAAAGTCTGCGACAGCAAAGCTGTCAGAGATCAACCACGAGAAGAAGCAGGCAGTCAAGGACGTCCTGTCTCTCGCGCACGCGTGCAAAGTCAGATCTGGGAAGGCAAGCAACCTGTGCTTTCCCGTTTCATCAGATAAAACTGCTGACAAACAACTTCAATGAACAGTGGCTTCTTTTTTGTTCGCCCCGAGACGTGAATGAGGTATGGGCAATCATTGCCAGGGCCACGGCAAACAACGAGCTTGGCATCGCTGCTAAAGTGGCACCGCGGCAAGACGCAACCGGCCGCAAAGATCGAATGATTGCTGTTTACACTGCCGATTTCAACGATGTCACAGACGTGATGAGGGTATTGCGTCGGCTCCGGGAGCTGAAAGTGGTGGAGGCGATGGGACGACCTATCTATTATAAGCCAGGTTTGTCGCATCAATTACCCCTTCTCTTCCAGTTATGCGGTGCTGACATGTCGTAGACGCCTTTACATACATTGGGATTGCCCACGGCAACCAGTGGGATATCAGAGCATCCATTCACAGTTCTCTGGATATCATGCCCAAGCAATAATCTTAATGGGGAGAGTAATGAACAGATTGACCTTGCGCAATCTTCGAAGACAATCCTCGAAGACTACACAGAGCGATCCTAAGAAAAGTGTTAAGACCTATGGGCAATCATGATGGACTGTGCTCGAGCCTTCGTGGTATATTAGTTGCGTTTACAATTCTGGAACCTACCGTCTTGCAATTCGAACCCGTGACCATGAATATTGTGAGCAGGAGCTCTTCGTATGTCTTGCCATGCACACCAGAACCATTTGAATACAGCCATACCCTCGCCACATTGTGAATGCTACCACCGCACGTTTCGAACAGATGCATGCTTTCGTTTCCAAGCCACCGCTGTGCCGCCTATCATGGTCTACCCCGAACCTTCGCCACCAGTATCCATCCATGCCCACTCATAACCAACGTCGCTCTATGCTGTGGCTGTCCATCTAACCAATGGATGCCCCCCATGCGGAGGGAAAGAAGAAATCGTCACCGCCACGCCAGCAGCAGCTGAAGCTAGCTGTGACGTGTGCGCGAGCCATGTATATTTGTCTTGATAGCATTGCAAAACGTGGCAACCAGTCGTCGCGAGCTGAAGTCCGTTCCTCCCACTCAAGCATAGTGGCTATCAAAGTCCTCGATAACGGCGTCAGGGTCAATGGACTTGAGAAGGAGGACCAAACGGTAGGCGCTGTTGCCGTTCAGATAATATCTGTGCAATTTCTTTGAGCGCAAGAAGCCCAGGCGCTCGTATAGACGCATAGCCTGGGTATTTGTCTCTTCCGTTTCCAGAACAATCTCATCGGCATTACGCTCGGCCATGGCATCAATGGCACGTTTCACGAGGGCAGTGGCGATGCCTTTGCCTCGGAATGGCGAAGCGACAGCGAGCATGGCAATGTAACCTCGGCGCGTCGGTGGTGAGTGAGATGAGTGAAGCTCTAACTTGCAGACAATGACGCCGATGAGGGATGAGTCGACTGGATTCAGAGCCTGGGCAGCAATTAGTGTCAATCGGAGGAGTGGTTATTTGTCAAGACAGATGCGGACCATGAAGCACAAGTGCCCCCATTGGTAGAGGAAATACCGATAGACATAGATGCTGTACGGTTCGCTCAAATCCTTTGCGATCAGAGAACGTATGGCGGGTAGGTACTTCGCTTCCAGACCATGTTCATACTGTATATAATGCAAGTCTCCCGGGGGGATGCTGATTTTGGAAGCATCCATGGTGCATCTATCGGCAGTCCCTGGGGGAGATGGGGGCGTTGATGAACAATGGGGCGGAAGAATGAGGACGGAAAACTTCGAGGGTCGAACTCGGACCAGCAAATGCGCAGATATGCTCAACTCATGACAAGACGATGAGGTAGAGACTGAAAACGACGGGGAAATCGCTTCGGATTAATGCTGCGATTACGGAGAAAGAAGCGGCACTGCCGCGCGCGAGGAACGAAGAGGATCAAGCGGCCGATTCGCACGACACGGTCGCGAATTGTGCGTTTGCAGGTTGACTTGATTTGAGTTGACTGGCGGCGTGGGAGGGTAGGTGAGACTACGTCGGGCGTTGTCTTGAAGTGCTTCCTCAGAGTTGAGGTCAGCCAGGCAGGGTAAGGTAAGGCGACGCGACTCCAGCCCGTTGCGGAGGCCAAGTAGGGCGGGTGACAACTCACTGGCCTGCATGCCCCGTGCACCCAACTTGGTGGAGCTCTGGATGTTGAAGTGCCTCGAGTAAGTAATTTACCTACTTAGGTAGATACACTAGGTAAGGGAGGATAGATAGGTAACCTTGAACTAATCGTGCCTTTACCATAATATTTAACCCAGTCTGTCAGCCATTTCTTCCGTGGGTGTTTGGGTGTTTTTCATGCAATGCACCCAGGCTGCAACATTGTCGCTCTCCCGTCCATGTTGCGTGAAGTCGGCCCGGACCACTATCACATGCTAAACGAGCGGTAGCGCATTTGCAAACGAATTGCTTTCTGAAGCTTCGGGGGCTGCCACCAGCAGTCAGTCGTAAGGCCTTTCTCGCGCAGCTTTAGCTAGCTTGTTGATTTTCATTTGGAGGGGGTTTTTTCCCCTCCCCTAATTACCCCGTTGCCTCCGACCAAAGCGACAAAAGAAGAAACTTGCTTTCGTCGCCAGCCAGGTGAAGCGCGATCCTATGATTTTTGGGGTCTTGTGCATCCTGTTGTCCCGCTCTCGTTAAGAAAGGTGGTCTACCAACCATCGTACTGTAAGACAATGTGAAGAGTGGCGAGTGGCCTTGTGTATGTTCCGTTCGAGAAGACGGCCGATACATGCGCCGCAAGGAGTCCTCAAAATAAACTTACCTACTCTAGCAAATGTGAGAGATCTCGTCTGACCTTTGGCAATGGAAGGTATCTATTAAGTACATATGTGCCTATGATTGGTAGGACCTCTGAGAGACAAAAGACTGGAATTGCTACACCTGGCTTTCAAGTGCCGCATTTTATGCAGTGCCTGATGAAAACACAACGCCCGGACCACTGGCAACCATGTGGCCCGCCCAGATTGACGTCACGTTGATAGCTATCGACGGCTTACTAGCCCGCTGCCCTGTGCCCTCAGACCTCCCTCCTGGGCATCTTGCCGTGGCCGTGGCTACCTACGTACCGCTTTGAAGCTCTGGACATTTTTACTTCACCTCCATTGGACGGCTTTCTCTGAAGTGTTCTCATTAGCGTCGGGACTACCAGCGACCCTCCTCGTCTCACTCAACCTGTCCGATAACCCAGGTGCGTGGCTTGCGCAGAATAAGCTTTCCGCAACTCTCGGCCACGCTCTGTGCCTTCCACCCCGTTACCCCGACGGTCCGCCTACCTCGTTGACTCCTGACCTGCCGCTTAGGCATCACGAGCACCGCGTTCCGCGACGCATATGTATTGAACCCTTCTCCCTCGAGCACACCGGCGCCCTACATCCCAGGCCAAATGTTGGGCACCCCAACTCCTCCCTCTGCGCTGCTGTACGCCATCTCTCGCTTCAAACCTCTCGACGGCGCAAGCTGACCTTACAGTCATTAGATTTCTCAGGTCAGTCGCAGGCGATTGCGATCGTGATCATGTCTGCGCCTACTCTCAGGCGGCGTGCCGTCCCCGCCGATCCTCAGACCGAGAGCGAGTCCTCTACACCCCGAGATGAGAGTCCCGACAAGTCCGAGAAACACGTCCACGTCGTCCAACACTTGAAGCCAAAGACAAGAAAGCGCCGCAACACCGCCATTTTCCTTCTCGGAAGCTTGTTCGGCATTATAGCTGCCGGCTTTTTTGCCAAAAGCAATGACCTCATCGACTTCCCTGAGCTGGGCGAGCTCAGCATGGACAGCTTATTCGACGTCTTACCCGCCGGTTTAGTCAAGGACATGCGCGATCTAGTGGTCAGTAATGCTTCATTCACAAGCTTGAAAGAAGTTTATATTCCAGCTGGACTGAACTAATGCGGCTTCTCGTAAAGCAAGGCGAGCGCGAGTTCGTTGATAGCTACGACGCTTTCTCAGTAGGTCTGCAGGCCCGCGCCGAAGGCCTCCACGCACACCACCCCATGATTATGGTCCCGGGCGTTATTTCAACAGGTCTCGAATCGTGGGGCACCACCAATGTTTCACGCCCGTACTTCCGCAAGCGCCTCTGGGGCAGCTGGAGCATGATGCGTGCCTTGGTTTTGGACAAGGAGAATTGGAAGAGACACCTCATGTTGGATCAAGAAACAGGCCTTGATCCCCCGCATATCAAGTTACGGGCTGCCCAAGGCTTCGATGCAACCGATTTCTTCATTACGGGATATTGGATTTGGAACAAGATTTTCGAAAATCTTGCGTCCATAGGGTACGATCCAACTAATTCCTTCACCGCCGCTTACGATTGGCGGCTGGCATATCCGAACCTCGAGACCCGGGACCAGTATTTTACGAGGCTCAAGTCCTACATCGAAACCGCCCACGAATTCTCGGGGAAAAAGGCGGTTCTCGTGTCGCACAGTATGGGTGGGCAAGTTCTCTTCTACTTCTTCCACTGGGTCGCATCCGAGACAGGTGGTCGCGGTGGCGATGACTGGGTCGAGAGGCACGTAGAGGCGTGGATTAATGTTAGTGGCTGCATGCTTGGCGCTGTCAAGGATTTGACGGCAGTACTGTCTGGCGAGATGCGAGATACGGCGCAGCTCAATGCTTTTGCTGTCTATGGCCTCGAAAAGTTTCTGAGCAAAGACGAGCGGGCGCAACTATTCCGTGCCATGCCCGGGATATCTTCCATGCTTCCCATCGGAGGGGATGCGGTATGGGGTAATTCCACCTGGGCTCCCGATGATCAGCCCGGGCAGGACTTCTCCTTCGGGTCACTGCTCAACTTCCGCAGCGGCATGAACTGGACCACACCCGACCGTAACTTGACGGTCGAATCGGCCATGGAATACCTATACAACACGACGGAGGAGTGGTACCAAAAACACATCAAGACAAGTTACTCGCACGGAATCGCGCACACAGAGGCGGAAGTCGAGGCGAACGAGAAGGACCCCCGCAAGTGGATTAACCCTTTGGAAACGCGGCTTCCACTGGCGCCGAGCATGAAGATTTACTGTTTCTATGGCGTTGGCAAGCCCACTGAACGAGGATACTATTATCGGTCTCCAGAGATGCCGTCTCTCACGAACCTGAACATCACCATCGACACAGCTTTCACCCAAGGACAAGTCGACCACGGCGTTGTCATGGGCGAGGGAGACGGTACTGTCAACTTGCTCAGTACGGGCTACATGTGCAATCGTGGCTGGAACTACAAGCGATATAATCCGGCCGGGTCCAAGGTCACTGTGGTAGAGATGGAGCACGAACCGGAACGATTCAATCCCAGAGGTGGACCCAAGACGGCAGACCACGTAGACATTCTCGGGCGGCAGCACTTGAACGAGTTGATTTTGAGAATTGCAGCGGGCAAGGGGAACACGATCTCTGACTACGTTGTGAGTAACATTTTGGAGTATGCGGATAAGGTCAAGGTCTACGACGAGGACAAGCAGCACGAGGAAGAGGAGGAATAGCATGTTACCCGAAAGCATAGCTATTGAGGCAGACAGTAGCAACAGTTTGTGATTTTGGTTAGGGGCGTTCTGGTGAATTGCAGAGGAGTCGGAGGGATTTGGCAATGGTCATGGCATGATAATACCCTTTTCGGTCAACTGTGTTACTGAGAACATGTACTACTTCAACATACAAATAGAGTCCACATCATCGACACCGGTAATAACATTAGAAAGAAGAATAAAATAAGCAGAAAGGAATTTCTTTATGTCCGGCCACGGCTGTGGGCATCATTACCATTGGCCCTGTTTTCCATCTCCCAACGAATAGATGCGACACAATCGCTTCGACCAGAGCCGATTGCTCCGAATTGATGTATCCCAGGCATAGTCATTGTAGGTCAAGTCGGGCGAGTCGAAACTAAGGTAGGAAGGACGGCGGGGACGTTGAGGCTGCCCCGTAGCTGTCCAACCGTGTGCAGCAGACTCAGCAAACACCGCACAGCAAGCAGTTGAATGCCTAGGTACACACTATGAAGGTACCTTCTGGTGGATACCTTAAGGTGCTCACCATTCCAACCCCTCACGCTCTGAGTAAAGCAAGGAAAGCATTCCCCTCCATTTCCCCCACTCTGAGCCCGGCACCTACCTTCCCCATTGCACGGGGCACCCGAACAACGTGGACCAACTCGCCTTCCTCTACTAGGTACATACCTTACTTAGTACCTTACCTACCTACTTACCTACCTACCTAATCTCACGGGCTACATACCTAGGCTGACCAGGTGGTGCCCTCGTGCAGTGGAGAGGGGCTTTGCTGTCAAGCCAGACCATGCCTTGTGTGTATCAACCCTCCAGAGTCGAAACTCCAGCCGGCTTCATCTCCCTCCCACAAAATCCTCCGTTGCAGTCGCAACTCGACACGCCTTGCGTCAGTTATGCAGACCAATTTGGGCACCAAACTTTGGCGATAATACCACCATGGCGGATTTCGATGTGTACGAGTCTCTTGAGACCCGGCAGCAGTTCTGGGAAGGTCAGTCGCCCTCGTGCGCCATCTTCGCTTTGTCTTCGTCCCTTCCCTCAATGCCTTCACGATTTTTTTTTTCCGATTTCCACGGAGCCTGCCGACTGACCGCCTGCATTATTTTACCAACAACAGAGCTTGACGATGTCGTGACCACCCAATA